GCCAGGCTGGCTTTGCCTCCATCTCTCTGGATGTTCCTGCTCACACTTCACTCACCTATCTCCCAGGTGGACTTTGCTTTCGTGGTGTGGCAGAGCTTCCCGGAGCGGATGGTGGGCTTTCTGACATGGAGCCACTTCTGGGATGAGGCCCAGGGGCGCTGGGGCTATACCACTGAGAGGGCCAACGAATTCTCCATGGTCCTCACCTCGGCGGCCTTCTACCACAGGTACAGGCGGTAGCCCAGGCACCGGGATCAGAGGCTCTTTACACCAGGAGCAGGGGGGCATGGGAGTGAACACAGCAGTCAGCCTGGAGCCCAGGGATCCAGGTTCAAGGCCCAGATCTGCCATGTCCCAGCTGCGTGATGGGCGAGTCTCTTCACATCTCTCTCTCTTTTTAAAATATATTTTTATTGATTTCAGACAGGAAGGGAGAGGGAGAGAGATAGAAACATCAGTGATGAGAGAGCATCATTGATTGCCTGCCTCCTGCACACCCGCCTCTGGGGATGGAGTTTGCAGCCCAGGCATGTGCCCTTGACTGGAATCAAACCCAGGACCCTTCAGTCCGCAGGGCGACGCTCTATCCACTGAGCCAAACGGGCCAGGGTCCCCTCACCTCTCTTGAGGTTCAGCTTCCTCATCTCTATAATGTATTCACCTCACAGGGCTGCTGTGATAACCACATGATCAAAGAAATTTTAATAAATTTTTTACCAAGTGTGTGTGATGAGCTGGGGAACTGCACTGGCACTCAGTCTTGGGGCAGGGACTGAACTCGGAAGGGCTTCTTTAGAGGAGTTCCTGACACGTGTTTAAACCGAACATGGAACGTCTTGCGGGGGATTCTCAGGAAGTGAAGAATACTCCTAATGTCTGTAGGGCCGGTAGGTCCCGGGACGGTGGGAGGGCTCATCTGGAGCCGCCTTAGCCTAGTTAGTCCACATCCTTCCAGAAGCTGGCTTTGGGCTGCCATGTTTGATGGCCTTGGAATTAGCTGAACCCCCCCCCCCCCAATTAGGCTGAGTTCATTCCTGGGGTGGGGGCCCAGGGAGCTGGGAGGGAGGGGCAGGAACTACATACACCACTGGCTGCAGACCAGCCCCAGAGCACAGAACAGTGGAGAGCGGCTGGTACTGGGGGCGGGGCCCTCTGCAGGGGCCAGGGCTCGGGGAAGGGAGCGGGGGTTTAGCCAGAGGCTGGGGGACTGGGGTCAAAGAGAGAGTGACGTCAGGACGGGGAACACAGAATCGGGGCGGTGGCCGCGGCTCCAGCCTCTCCCTGCCCCCCCCCGCGCCCAGGTACTACCACACCCTCTTCACCCACTCCCTGCCCACGGCTCTGAGGCGCCTGGCGGAGGCCGCACCCCCCTGTGTGGACGTCCTGATGAACTTCCTGGTGGCAGCAGCCACCAAGCTGCCCCCCATCAAGGTGCCCTATCGGAGGCGGCACGAGGACGCCAGCCCATCGCGGGTGAGGATGGAGGGGGCCGGTCGGCGCCGGGGGGAGACGGGAGGGAGGGCTCCGTCTCACCGGCCAACACGAACTCTTTCTGCTGCGGGGTGCGGGTTGCGGGGTGTGGGGTGCGGGGGGAGACTGGGTCCGGAAGGACGGGAAACTCCGACGCATTTCTCCTCCCCACCTTAGGTGCCTGGGGGCCTGGGGCCCGCAGCCCGGGACTGCATCGACCGGGTGGCGGCGGGGTTCGGCCACATGCCCCTGGTGTCCTCTCGCCTCCGTCTGGACCCAGTGCTCTTTAAGGACCCGGTGTCGGTGCTGCGCAAGAAGTACCGAGGCCTGGAGAAGCCCTAAGGAGGGCGCACCGGACCCCGCCCTGACCACCCCCAGCGCCGAGTCTGCTCGGAGGGGGCGGCTCGGCTCAGGTGTCCCCTCCCTGGAGACATCCAGGGACCCAATCAGGGCGCCCAGTGGCCAAACGTCAGACCCCGATTGGCCTATCATAGAGCCGGGGGCGGTACCTCGGTCCACCCTCCAGCCGGCAGCCAGGTTCTCAGGTGCAAGGCATTAGCTTGTTTTGGTGCCTTTGCCCGGCAGGCTCCTCTGCCGAGCTGACGTCTTATCTTCAAATCCTCGCCTCCCCCGGGGTTTGCCCGACCCCCATCCCCTCTCCGGATCGGTTGGTCTCCTCTGCGCGTTCACAGCCCGGTGTTCCTTGCCGCGTACACCGCCAGGCCCTGGACGGTCTGGACGCCCCGGTCGTGTCCTCCTCTCTCTGGCCTTGCAGGTAGCGCTACGAATATTTGACGAACAGGTAACTGGAAGAGACATCAATTGCGGGCCTGCCCTGTGAGGACGGTGCCGGGAGTGTGGACAGGATGTGCCGAGTGAGAAGACAAAACTCCGTCCCCGTCCCTGTGGTGCCTCGTCCGGCGGGAAGGCCGCTATCCGCAGACGCCGGGGTTGCCAGGCGCAATCCTCGCGTCCCAGCGATGGAGCAAAGAGGCGCCGGGAAGCCAGTTTCTGGGCTTCTTTCCCGACCGGCGGAGCGAATGGGGAGGGGAAGAAAGGGACGAGAACGCAGGCGATCCGCCCGGGCCGGCCCGGGACCCTCGGCTGGAGCTCGGCCGTCGCCCTGCATTACCAGCTCGGGCCACTAGAGGTCAGCGCCGCTCCGCGCTCCCTCCTCCGGGAAAGGGATGTAGTTCTTGACGCCCGTCTGGTCGGAGAGCGAGCCCGGGCACTAGGCGGCTTGGGGGTGCGCAGCCCGAAGTCTGAACACTCAGGGAGGGGGACTAGCTGGAAGAGTGGGCCTACGCTTTGGCCCACACACTTAGGACTAAGCAGGGCCATCTCTAGGTGGGAGCAGAAACTGGAGTGCCTGTAGGTGAAAGTGCAGCGGGGAGGGGACGCTGAGTTCTCCGGGATTCATCCACCTGGAACAGGAATTATCGCTTCGGAAATACAGCGCCTGTCCTTGCCCTCTCAAGCCGAGGCTATAAATACCCCTGCAGCAGCTGCACGAGGGAGGAGCCTGGGAGGGGGGCGGCTCTAGAGGGGTGGGGGCAATGGGTCCAGCCCAGGTCCAGGGTGTCAGGTGTTTTTCTGCTTTGATGGCCTCGCCGCTTTGGAAACTCCCGTGACTAGCTCGCAGGCCAGAACATGCTGTCCCCCGGGGCCTCTCCAAGGCTTCCCAGCCCCACCCTCCAGCCTGACCTCTGCTCCCTGGGGCCAGTCACAGCTGGGGGTGCTGAGAAGGCTCTCCCTTGGAAGGCATGGGGCTGCTAGATTCTTGAGGTGGAGGGGGAACTGGGAGTGAGGCAGCCTGGCCCAGGATCAAGATCAGCTGGGAGTGGGAGAGGGAGCACACAGCTGCAGCCCAGGCAGCCTTCCCAGGGTGGAGGGCTCGGAGTGCCAGGCCAGCCAGGGGAAAGAGTCACCTTTCTCCACCCCAATCACAGCTGCGGCAACCAAAACACTGAACTGCCTTGGCATAGCTTGCCCATGGGGAGGGCACCGCAAAGCCCAAGGACTCACACTGTAACAACATGCAGCTCAGAGCAGGGCCCCAGCCCCTGCTGTAGGGGGAGGCCGAGGGGAATGAGGCAGAAACCCCAGACCTGCCTCACACTGGCTGTGTGACTTAAGGCAAGTGACTCAACCTCTCTGAGTTTTCTCATCTGTAAAAATGAAGAATCCTGCCCAGCCGGAGTGGCTCAGTGGTTGAGTGTCGACCAATGAACCAGGAGGTCTCGGTTCGATTCCCAGTCAGGACACATGCCCAGGTTATGGGCTTGATCCCCTGTGTGGGGTGTGCAGGAGGCAGCCGATCAATGATTCTCTCTCATCATTGATGTTTCTATCTCTCCCTCTCTGAAATCAATGGAAACATATTTTTAAAATATATAAAATAAAAAATGGAGCATCGCAATGACTGTCTTGAGAGGGGTGTAAGGACTTGTCATACAGCAAAGCTCAGGATCCAGGTTCCTGGGGCTGTGGCTGAGAGGGAAGGGGGTCTTGATTCCCCAGAGGCCAGGTCCTCCCACCCCCAATTCCAAACCAACACAAAGTGACTCCCCGCTGATTTCAAGGGCAGAAGAACCCACTGGCCTAGGTCACGGGCAACCCTGGATGCCAGTGCTGGAAAGGCACAAAGATGTCATTTCACAGATGAAAGAGGCTCAGAGAGAAGGTGAGTGACCAGCC